ACCAAATGAATTTGCGTAGGCGTGGTTATCTAAGAGAAAGTCGATGAAGAGAATCGATCAAAGCAGATAGGACCATTTGAAATGTTCATCGAGATTTAGCATAGACCACGCCATCACCCAGTGGGTCACCGCTTCTGTTATAGAATTTATCTGAATGCTCGATTACATGAGGCACATTAAAAAAAATCTGAACATTTTTAAAGTAATGGTAACAAAGTACAAGTGAAAGCGTAAAGGTAATACGCCAATAAAAAAATGTTCTGCAAAAAATTCTCCCATAACATAACATTGCTGCATTCGTAGAATTCCGATATAATCTATTCAAAATACGTAACATCCCATCTCACAATGTATACCAGTTGTGTTGCCGATGAATGGTTAAATTACGTTGAAAATGTGTGAACGTCTTGTAACGGTCAAATCCCCGTACTAAACAATACCGATACATTTTTTGTAGAATTTTTGTCCATTCTATATTTTGAAAATAACGTGTCAAAAGATGTTAGTCATGCAAGTGCAGTTAAGTGTTGAACCGGAAAAAATAAACAAAGAATATTCTAATTGACCAGCAAATTAATGGCTTTTGCTATTAGAGGATTTCAAGAATTTAAGCACTGCAAATATATGCTACCTTTCCTCTAAAATAGGAATGGTTTGTGCAAACGCAAATGAAATGTCAGTCAAAGCAACCAAGTTTCAACAGCCTGTATTTCGCTTACCTGCACCTTCCAGATCTTCGAGCTTTGCAGTTCTAGCATTAATCGTAGCACATGAGATCAGCGCGAGCCTCGTGCACGCCATGATTTTTGGGTGTCGCATTTGTTTCTCGCTCGTATCTTATTCTCGCGTGTCTCTCTCTCGCTCGTCACATGTTGTTTTCGTTGCGACGGGAGACGGTTTGTTGAGAGTCTCGGCAGCACATTTTTACACAACCGAGGAAAATGTAACTCTGCTTTAATCACTAAGGATAAACTACTGTTTGTATTACGTTTATTTTAGCACTACTGAATTGAAACAAAACAAGTGCAAAGAATTATGAGCCTGGAAAAATAAACGCATAAACACATTATTAAAAAAAAAAAGTGAAAAGAATCAATCATATCATAAGTCATATGTAAACAATGACAATGAACGTCGATTTGTAACGCATTAAAGCTCATTCATGTAAACCAAAATCAACATCCGGTAAACGAAATTTACTTTACGTCTGCAGCTACTACTGTCGTTCTGCCTTAATAAGTTTTAATCCACGAATCACCGAAGCCATTGTTTCCACTTGGGTCATTGGATCTTTCCACATGTTGTGCCAGAATTTGCCTACATGAAATTGTGGATTTGGTTAAATCTGTAAGGCAAATCCCTTTTCCTATAGCTGTTAGAAGGAACATTCAGTAGGCAGCTGAAAAATACGTCCCATTATAAGTTTACAAGTCAACAAACTTGAACGAGTTAAATTACAATTTTGCTTTATTTTAATACTAACAGACGCAATTGTAAGTCATTTGAGTCGCTTACATGTATCGGTCTTAGGAGACTTAAAATTACATGAAGTTTTCGAAGTGTGTATGGATCAATTGCAATATGTTTATGGGTGATTCGTAAAATTTCAGGTACAGCGGTACATTTTTACAATTGTGTTGCTAAATTTCACATAAAATATGGATCATATTGATTTTTTTTTTTATAATGCGTTTATTTTCCAGGCTCATTTGCTATAGCTTTGCGTAGCCAATATTCATTGATTAGATTACAAAATTACTTAAAACTAACGTTAGTCAAGCGGGGGCCGATAACTCGCGGCTATCTCGAGGTTAGGGGTGACAAATTGTAACAAATGGATGGCAGGGTAGGGATTGTGAACACAAGGTTTGGAGAGCAATGTGCTCTTGATCTCAAACTAAGCGACACTCTGATGAAAAAGACAAACATGGGGGTACACCGATGGGCAGCTAACAACTTGGGAAAACACAAGATGACACTAACTACTAAATCCTCAGATCTATCCGTTTTAAAAACACATAAATTAAATTCAAATAGTCGAGATCTCGGCTCGCCAAGACATCTCTAACGGGTATCGCAGGTTGTTTTCCTCGGGCCCTGAGGGATGTGGATAAATCAGATCTGGCAACACGGTGTAGGGTACACGACCAAACAACATGCTCGATATCGTGCTAACCACTGCCACACGCACATAAATTGCTGCCTGAGAGCCCAATTCGATAGAAGTGCGAGTCTAACGAGCAGTGATTGGACATAAGCCTTGATACAACGCGTATAAAGTCGCGGCTCATGTCCAACCCTTTGAACCATGGTTTGTTTGACACCTGTGGGAGAATAGAATGTAACCATCTTCCCAATTCACCATCATTCCATTTGTGTTGCCAACTGATGAGGACTTGCTGACGAGCAATAGAGAAAAATTCGTTGAAGGCGATTTGTCGCTCAAAAATATCGCCTTCCATAGCGCCCACCTTAGCCAACGAGTCCGCTTTTTCATTACCCGGAATTGAGCAATGCGATGGATCATATTGATATTTTTTATAGATCATTCACACTTTTTAAAAGATTTTGTCCGATGTTTTACACAGCTAAAAAAAGTAGTGTAAATTTCCGTTACTATGATGCACATAAATGGAGCGTCAATTTTAGATTATGGATCGTGTAAATTTATGAGACATGCCATGCAATATTTCATATATTGTATGCAACTGTCCACTTTTGTTAGCAACATTTCTTGCAAGCTGCTAGTTTGCATGCATGGATTTTTACATTGCCAGTAAAATGATGTTTTTTATGGAACGTTTTCCAATATTTTATGGATCATTTATTGGTTTTTCAAAAGTATGTATGCCGATCAAGAGTATTCTATGTTGGACCAAAGTTCAATAATAATATAGTGTTCGTCATAAGTAACATGGAAGTGCAGCGCCTCTAGCGCTATAGTTCGCAATTAAAGCTGAATCGAATAGCACAAGCTTGTTGTTCTACCCCAGTACAACAACTTTGTTGAAGACACTATAGCTTTATATATTGAAACATATGAGATAATCCACTCCGGTTCCTATTAGTGAAAATCCCATAACCTCAGACTGAAAGCGTCCCTAATAAAGGAAACTTAACTTAACTTAAAATCCCATATGCTGTGGGCGAGATGGTTTTATCACAGGTGGGCAGGAGCTTACGGTCTTCCAGTGTTGGTGAGTTCTTTGCCGTTAATGTTCACGAAAAGTTCACTATTTTTTGGACAGTTTTTGACCTGTTTCATACGACCGGAAGATGTATGCTGGTCACAAATGCACTGCCAAACTGATTTCCTACGCAATTCATCCACCTTTCATGTGAATTTCTCTAATAAACACTAGGAGAATTTCTTATAACAAAACTTGCCATAACAAAAAGGGCATAGTTCATTTTAGTAAACAAACTAACACTTCTTTCTAATGTGTCACCTTTGATGAAGTTCCTAGTCACTCGACGAAAATACTTTGAAAGCGCTAAATCAAAATCAAATGCTAAAGAAAATAGTTAACATCTCGTGATCTTAAGAGATATCAATTTACTATGCTCAGAAAAAAATGTATATTATACAAGTTCTAGAAGTTTCATGAACACGACTTTCACGAGAAATTTTAATCAACAGTTTTTTAGTAAAAAAAAAAACTATTTCAGGTACACATTATTCCATTTCTTAAAAATTACGCTAAATACAGAACGTTAAGTGAAAGATAAAAGATTTTTTCAACAAGTGACTTTCAATTAACTCAGCTACAGCTTAGCCCACGATAATATTAAAATCTTAATTGGTTTGATATCCACTTCCTATCCTGGACCACTGTGCAATATCACCTCGGCGTCCTAAGTCACTCCGGATCACGGTTATCATTTTTTTGTTGCCACCCTCTGGCACCGTACGTACCACACATCTGCAGTTTCCCAATCGAACGTCCAATTATTTTTGTGCAAGTGAATTAATTCCCGTCGGATGCATCGTGGCAGCACAACACGGACACTTCTTTTTACACATTCGAGTGAAAACAAACTACAGTCAACTCACCACAACTGCAAATGCGCTTTGTAAAATTTCAGAATATATGTATGGATTTCATGTCCTTTCTTTGCTGTATTCGTTTTAAAGCATCTAAACATTAATAACTCCATTAACTCCAGATAATTAAATTTTATGAAAAAAAAAAAAATAAAAAAAGATTATAACATGAAGGTTTTGAGAATTGACTGTATAGACCCTTCTACGTGAATAAGTGTGAGCAGGATGGGTTACAATCATGTGCATAGAGATCACCCGGGCTATTGGATGGGCCGAGCACCTCTGAGTATGTTGATGCGAATGTTAGCAAAACGAGCGTCACGTTCGATGCCTGCAGCAATTACAAAACGAGTGGCCTACGGTAACGAAATGTAATTGTAATTTGATACCTATATCAATGCATGTGAATGCAGTTCATTGAAAACTGTGTTATCGGGCAATAGCAACTGTTCTATTTTTTTTTTGTTCCGTTCATCATTTGCATTTTACCAGCCCTATCACCATTCGGCATCGGTATGTCTGAAAATGGACTCTGTTAGAGATGCACCAAATGCACAATGTAGACACACATCATTGGCCCTTAAAATTTGTTTTGAATTGCTCACTTTCCATCAAATTCATCTAAATCTAGTGCGTAGTTTCCATTGAATGCCAAGCTTTCATTAGAAACTACGGATTTGATTCAGCGTACTCCAATTAAAATGCCATCTAATTAAAATGAAATTAAGAAACTGTTCGCGGTGTGCCTAAACAAAAATAGAAAAAAAAATAACAGTGGCATCGCCAAAACAAGGATCGCAATTTCAATTATCGAAAACAAAGAGGGAAAGCCGCACCGATTCCAATTATATTTGCTTCCACGTCCGTCTAATTTGAAAACACAGACACACAAAGTCGCATCCTCACTTTCATCCATCAATATTCGTCATAAAAAGCGGACATAAAATGTACCCACCTGCGCAGGTCCGGACTAGAGGTGTACGGTGCTGCCACTTCCTTTATCTTGAGCACGATGATGGCAGTAATGAAGATGCAAATTACGTTGATCACCGTGAGCAGGCCGGAAACGATACCGTTAATTAGAAACTCCGTCGGGATGTAATTGGTGTACACGAACTCGTAGCTCGAATTTCCGGTGTACGCTTCGCCCTTTAGATGGGGCATTTTGATGTCTTCGTAGATCAACCAAATACAGGCCAGAGCCCAGAACAAACCCTGGAACGAAACCACGAGAGATAGAGAAAGAGAGAAACAGTGTGAAAATATAATCAGTCATACTGCGTTGAAATTTCAGCCTTATTAAACGCTGAAGCCAGATCATTCCAAGAATATCGCCTTTCAAGGCATTCAAGCTGCTCGCAATAATACCCAAAGCGTCCGTCAGTCGGCATTAATATACATTTTATTTCCACTGCAGTAATACCATGACCAACGCCGTTCTTATCCTCATCATAATGAAGTGAGCGATTAAAATTTAAGACGACAGCTGCCTCATCGGAGCCTCCTGCCAACCAGAAGCAGAGCAGACCGAAGGACAAACGACAAACTTTTCGGCTTGAGATTCTTAATCAAATTAAATTTTACGACACTGTTTATCAAACTTCGCATACGAAACCGGAACAGCCCAGGGCCACTCGGTGGAGCACTTTGGGAAGCGCGGGACCATCGACTGATTATGATACAATAGTACAAAGCTACGCCTAGTCGCAGTTTGGTCGCCACGGTGATTGCGGATTAATCCTGAAAGGTCGTGTCGTCTCCCGGGGCGGTTTTTCGGTGATTTGATGTTTTGACATTAAGTGGGTCGGTTTTGGTGCCCCCAGTAGGTGCTATTACTGCTCGATTGATGGGAAATGGCGTCATATAAATTAACGATCACACGTCACTAGGAACTCGTGTTAAATTTAGCACTGTGTGGCGAGCAAAAAGCTCATCCACAGCAGAGTAATTGATTTCACAGCTAGTCAGTTGGATACGATTCAATCCACTAGTCTATCAAAGAGTTGGAAAGCCTCAATTTCGGTGTGACAATGATGAGTAGATGATGAAGATGACAATTTGCTAAACCAATGCTCTGTGACGACGAAGAATGTTAGGACAGTTGACAACGATAATAGGCAATCAAAAAGCTAACTCCATCGAGTCGTACGATTGATACCTTTTGGATTGACAATTGTCATCCCGGGCTGGTTGAACACCGTTTCAATCGAGAAAATCTAATCAAAGCGAGATTTGATTTCTTCTTTTGAGGCAAATTTTCATCGTAGGGGTAGTTCGTTGATGATGTCTAGTCCGTGTTGACCGCAATCGGCTGTTTATCGGTGAGCTTAGCTACTATCCAATGAGTGAGTTAATCGTATTGGATTTACGAACTAAAATGTAAGACATAAACGTGCTTTCGGAGTATTAGGTGAGACACAATTGAGACAAAGCTTGTTTCACTAAGCTCATTAGTGCTTTGTAGAACACCTGTGGACACCTGTTTATCAATGGTATAGGGTTAAAACGTAACGTAACTCAGTGTGTAAAAACAATGTTTATTTTGGCGACACACCTGAAAAAAAAATTAAGGAAAAGGAAAAAGTCGATTTTGTCGAAAAATTCTAAAATCCTCCAAACTGCCCTGAACTGCGAAGTAACGAAAGTTTTAATTTCCAACGCACAACTAAAGATTACTTGCCAGACAAGGAAATTTTTTTTTTTTTTTTTTTTTTTTTTTTTCTAGTGCAAACAATTAGGCCACACCGCCGCCTTCTGCGGCAACAAGCCACGATGCGATCAGTGCGGCGAGAAGCATGCGGAGGGTGCTTGTGGTGCTCCTCCTAAATGTGTTTATTGTTTGGCACCTCCGCATCCTCTCGCAGATTGCCCGAAGTATAAACAGCAAGGAAAAAAACTTGAACGGTCTCTGAAGGCGCGCTCTCAGCGTTCCTTTGCGGAGATCTTGAAGACTTTCAATCCTCCTCCCAAAATCACTCCGGAAAAAGAAAACAATAATCCGTTCAATCTTCTCCCAGTTGACGAGGACGACACTGACTCAGAGGGCAATGACGGAAGTCCTTTTGTTTTCAAAGGTCCTTCAAGGAAGCGATCCAAGAATGACTCGCAGAAAACTAAAAAAACTGACTCCCAAGCCCACTTGGATAAATCAAGAGGTCACGGAAATAAACCGAAACCCAATCCACCGGGTTTTAAGCCTGTCGATTATGACAAAGAATTTCCGGGGCTTCCGGGAACATCTAAAACCCCAGATGTCCCAGTTTTGCAACCAGAACAGCAGAACGCCATGTTCACGCTTTCTGGAATTGTGGACAGCATTCTCGATCTGTTCAACATCACTGACCCTCTTCGGAGCATCATTAACATGATGCTTCCAATCGTGAAACCTTTTCTGAAGCAATTTGCTTCCAAGTGGCCCCTCCTTGCTTCATTCGTATCCTTCGATGGATAATTTTCCAAAAAATGATACGGTATCTCTCCTTCAATGGAATTGTAGAAGCATTTTACCAAAACTAGACATATTCAAATTTTTACTGCATAACATACACTGTGATGCGTTTGCTCTCTGCGAAACATGGCTCTCTCCAGATGTTAACCTTTCTCTTCACGACTACAACATTATCCGTCTCGATCGTGCAGATTCGTACGGTGGGGTGCTCCTAGGGGTCAACAAACAACACTCATTCTACAGAATCGACCTTCCTCCAGTGTCAGGTATTGAAATTGTCGCATGTCAGGTGAATATTAGAGGTAAAACCTTCAGTATTACCTCGTTATACATCCCTCCGAGAACGGCTGTTTCTCGGCGAGCGCTATCTGACATCTGCTCAGTGCTACCTGAGCCGCGGTTGATCTTAGGGGATTTTAATTCCCACGGTACAGGCTGGGGAGAGCTGTACGATGACAACCGCTCAACCATCATCTATGACCTATGCGACGATTTCAATATGACCATTCTAAACACCGGTGAAGTAACTCGAATAGCCAAACCTCCAGCAAGAGAGAGCAGACTACACTTGTCACTCTGTTCGAACTCACTATCATTGGATTGCATGTGGGAGGTAATCCAAGACCCCTATGGTAGTGATCATTTGCCCATCAAAATTTCGATTTCCAACGGTTCATCTTCACAGTGTCCAATCAACATCGCGTACGATCTCACGAGAAACATCAATTGGGAAGAATACGCGAACGCGGTCCGTGACGGTTCAGAATCGGTCGACGTTCTCTCTCCGTTGGATGAGTACTCCTTCCTATCGCGGCTCATAGTGGATTGCGCGCTTCAAGCACAAACGAAGCCTGTTCCTGGCACTACCATTCGCAAACGTCCTCCCACTGTGTGGTGGGACCAGGAATGCACCGACGTGAATAAAGAGAAGTCTACCGCGTTTAAACAGTTTCGTAAATACGGTTCCCGCGAATACTTTGAGCGGTATACGGAGCTAGAGGAAAAGTTTAAGAGCTTGGTCAGGGCCAAAAAACGCGGTTACTGGCGTCGGTTCGTCGAAGGGCTATCGCGAGAGACTTCCACGCAAACGCTCTGGAATGTCGGCAGGAGAATGCGTAACGCGGCATCGTCGGTCAACGAGGGCAAGGAGTACTCTAACAAGTGGATTTTCGACTTCGCGCGTAAGGTTTGTCCCGATTCGGTTCCGGTCCGATGCAACACTCGCGATCCGCCGCTGGAAAACGATGACATGGACTCCCCGTTTTCGATGGTAGAATTCTCAATTGCTCTTCTTTCATGCAATAACTCAGCTCCGGGAATTGATCGAATCAAGTTCAACCTGCTCAAGAACCTCCCAGAAGTCACAAAGAGGCGATTGTTGAACTTGTTCAATCGATTCCTTGAGCTCAACGTTGTTCCGGATGATTGGAGACAAGTGAGAGTTATCGCCATCCAGAAGCCCGGTAAACCCGCTTCGGATCATAATTCGTACCGTCCCATCGCGATGCTGTCGTGTATTCGGAAGCTGTTAGAAAAAATGATTCTTCTTCGTCTGGACAAGTGGGTCGAGGTGAATGGCTTACTCTCAGATACGCAATTTGGATTCCGTAGGGGCAAAGGGACGAACGACTGCCTTGCGTTGCTTTCAACTGAAATCCAATTAGCCTATGCTGAAAAACAGCAGCAGGGTTCAGTTTTCTTGGACATTAAAGGGGCGTTTGATTCTATTTGCATCGACATCCTTTCGGAAAAACTCCATGCGAGTGGGCTTTCTCCGATTATCAACAATTTCCTGTTTAATTTGTTGTCCGAGAAACGAATGAGCTTCTCTCATGGCAACACGGAAATTGCACGAATCAGCTACATGGGTCTTCCACAAGGCTCATGTTTAAGTCCCCTCCTGTACAACTTCTATGTCAAAGACATTGATGAATGTCTGGCCGAAAATTGCACGCTAAGGCAGCTTGCAGATGACGGCGTGGTTTCCATGGTTGGACCAACAGCACCGGACCTGCAAGGACCATTGCAAGATACCTTGGATAATTTGTCTACTTGGGCAATGAATCTGGGTATCGAATTCTCTCCGGAGAAAACAGAGATGGTTGTTTTTTCTAGGAAGCTTTATCCAGCACAGTTTCAGCTTCAACTTATGGGTAGAACAATCACTCACAGTATGTCGTTTAAGTATTTAGGTGTCTGGTTCGATTCCAAGTGCACTTGGGGAAAACACATAGCGTATCTGAGGCAGAGATGCCAACAGCGAATCAATTTCCTTCGTTCCATTACCGGCAATTCATGGGGAGCCCATCCGGAAGATCTGATAAGACTCTACAAGACCACCATTCTCTCGATTTTGGAGTACGGTAGCTTTTGCTTTCAATCGGCGGCGGGGACGCACATATTGAAGCTCCAAAGGATTCAATATCGTTGCATTCGAATCGCGCTAGGTTGTATGCAATCGACGCATACCATGAGTCTTGAAGTTCTTGCGGGCGTCCTCCCCTTAACAAATCGTTTTGCGGATTTATCGTTCCGGTTCCTCATCCGCTGTGAAGTCATGAACCCGCTGGTGATCGAAAACTTTGAGAAGCTGCTAGAGCGGAATCCTCAAACACGATTCATGAGCTTGTACTACGAGTACATGACTCTGGACATCGGCCCCTCCTCGTTCAACCCCAATCGCGCTGTCTCCCATCATTTCAGTGGTTCTTCCGTGAGATTCGATCTCACAATGAGGCAGGAGATTCAAGGAATTCCAGAGCCTCAC